TATGCCTCCATCAGAAAGAATGACATTGCCCCATTTGTTAGGAAATGGAAAGGCTTGGAAAAATTATATTAAGTGAAGTAAGCCAGGCCCAAAGAAACATAGGTCCCATGGTTTCCCTTATTTTCAATATCTAGTATATGTCTGAGTAAAGCAGAAAAGGTCATATAAGGTGATATTAGGGAAATGAACCCTAAGATATGTATTCAAATGTTTTATTTTTTTCATGCAATTGTTTCTAACACATTTATTAGATTATTTGTTGTTTTGTATGTCCCTCCCCCATGGTATAACCCCTGCTTTCACTGTATTTGCTGTTGGTATAATTTGTGGAGGGGAAGAGGAAAAACAAATTGTTTAAATAGGTATACAGGTGGGCCCATTGCAACAATGAGATGTACAAGTCATTATGTCGAAAACGAACTTTGCAACTTTGGTGAGGGGGGGCCGGGGAGCATTGGGTGGGGGGGCGAGGGGAGGATGGGAAGGGATGGGAAGAGGAAACAAAGGAGGAGGCTACAATGCTCCATAAGAAATGTACTCATTATCTTGCCCATGTAATTGTAACCACTCTGTACAGTATTTTCTCAATAAAAAAAATAATAAAGGATATATCCATTTGGGGAGGTGGGGAGGAAAGGGATGGTAGGGGAAAAACAAAGGAGGGAGTAACAATGTTTAATAGGAAATGGACTCAGTACTTTGCTCATGTAACTGTAACCCTTCTGTACAATATCTTTACAATAAAATATACATTAAAATGAAAAAAATGAAATTTCTCATTTATTTGTGGCACGATTATGTGATAAAGTATCAGGCTTTTGTGGGGTTTTGTTGAGGCTCTCATCTCACTCCTTTTTCCTTCCTTCCATTCTATTTCCATCTCTTTTCTTTTTCCCTTCTTAGAAAGATTTTTTTTTAATTAAAAGTGCCACTTGCAATTCTGTTCTGGAGAATTGGAAAAGTCTCGAGGAAACCCACTGCCCTTGGCTGGTAGTTGATGGAGGCCTCTGGGTGGTGTGCTTCCAAGCCCACCAAAGTTAGTAATATCCAGAAACACTCCTGTCTTAATTGAGGAGATATTAGTTTTGTGTCGGCACTGGAGTGCAGACATTAACTGATGTCTGGAGATAGAAATTATACAGAGGTAAATGACCAAGCTTATTTTGGCAAGCTGAGCAAAAAAACACAGACTAAATGTCCAGACAATCTGCTACAGTTATGAAAAGTCCTACACATTTACACAGTTACCAAAAAGGAAATAGGAACCTGATATGTAGGAAGCAACAGAGGAAAGGGAAAAATGTACACGCCTCTGAGCAGACACCACTTTATGTGTATTTACAGAGCCTATTTATCTCTGGCCAAAAAACTCCAGAGAAAGCAAGCTCTTCGCTGAGGATACATTCTAATTATATTGCACTCCTATCCTATTGGGATAAGCCAAAAATTATCTGTGTGATTTGTAGGCAAAGTTCCTCTTTCAACAATTATTGTGTTAAAAATAAGAACTCTAATGGGCTGGGAAGGTGGCTCAGTGGTAGAGTGCTTGCCTTGCATGCACGAGGCCCTAGGTTTGATTCCTCAGCACCACATAAACAGAAAAAGCTGGAAGTGGAGCTATGGCTCAAGTGGTAGAGCACTAGCCTTGAGCTGAAGAGCTGAGGGACAGCGCCCAGGACCAGAGTTCAGTCCCCATGACCAACAAAAAAAATTAATAATAATTTTAAAAAAGAAATCTAACTTTAACAATGAAACTTGACACACAGAGAATATTTGCAGACACCAGGGATTTTTCTAATCATCTACAATCTTATCCTTTATACCTTATAGGAAGGAAATTCCTCTTAAAGTCATGTCTATCATCACTTCATGCTTTCTTATTTATACTGATTGTTTTTGGCTTTCTGTTCACCTCTGCACTGAGATTTTAAAAGGAAAAAACAATGTCATGGTAACAACCAAAAATAGTATTCTTGTGACTCTCTAGTCACAATATTTGGTCCTTTTTGAAGTGTCTTCTCCCAAGTATTTCTGGAATTCTCCACAGAATGAGTACATGGTAGCATATGGTGGTGGCATTTTTTACTCTTTCATTGATCTTTGATTGAAAGGTTATATTTCAGTTCTTTGGACTTTGTCCCAGTATGTATTTGGGTTCCATCCCATCTTGAGGACCTGTGGACTATGTATTGCTGGTGAAGTTATTCAGCCATTCTGAGGATACCACACAGCTTCCAACCTCTGTATCTGATCTGTACTGAAAATTCCTGTGCTGCTGGATCAAGCCTGCTGATCCCATCGCCAATCTGAAGCCACTGACCTCTCCACCTTCACCAAGTTCCAGAACAGAACGTGTCATGATGTATATGCTTTTTGTTCTCTTCACATTTCCTCACCAAAGAAACACTTTGTTGAAAGAGCTTTTTCAGGTTGCTCCTCACAGTGTGGCAAACTGTTCAGGCACAGATGCCATGTTGCTTTAGAACCTCTCAGACAATTTTATTATTGTGCAATATTCCTCTTGGATCAAAGTTGTCTGCCTCTAACTTCTCTCACAGAATGATTTATTTACCAGAAGTGTTTTGTTCCTTCACACAACTAAGATTCCTGGCACACATATCTTCCAGCTCCTCGACTTATAATGAGATACTAAAAAACACAGATAGGTGCATAAAGACCAAAAGCCTGTGGCACGCAGCTCACATTCTGCTGAGCAGCTATGTGACCAGCCTGCATCATTTGTTCTGATTTACAGATAGACTCTGGCCTTCCATATCTTGAAGCCTTGACACAATACTAAGCTCAAGACCATATCTTTTATTCTTTTTTTTCTATTTTTAAAAAGTTATCCATAATTTTTAAAATTATCTTTGTGTAGTTGTACATAGGGGGTTCAATTCGACATCAATGTCACTCCATTCATAATTTTCTATCATCTCTCCCAAATGCACCCATCCCCTCAATTTTCCCAGATTCACTGTCACATAGATACATTAAATATGAAAATTGCAATTGCCAACCCTTCCTTTCTCCCTACTTGGTATTATATTATTAGAGAACTTTACTACTACAGTCATTTCTACAGTCCAGGAGTGGAATTTTAGGTTATACTCCCCTACACCAACATATAATAATTCCACAATTGTTTATATTTTGCAAAAATCAGTGTCTTTTTAGTTTGATTGTTGTTGCTTCTGTGATGACCCTGAAATGCAAAGAGGCTCCTGACCAATGACTTCACCTTATGAAAGCTAACATACCAAAATAGGAAGGGGCCCAGTTTCTATTTCCTTCTTCAACTTAGTCTGTGGAGCTACACTCACTAACAAATGTGGAATGTCAGAATGTTATCTTTCATTGTTTGATTATAAATGATATCTTACTGTGTGTAGCCCGGAAACTTTCATTTTCAGCATCTTGCTTTTTGCAAGTCTATGCTTCACTTCCCCAAAGGTTTTCAATTTATTGTTAAAGTTCACCGATTCAGCACTTGCTCCTCACAAAAGTCTTGGAACCCACATACAAAGATTAAAGTCAGACAATCCAGCCAAGGAATAGAAGTATCTCCCCGCTTCACACTCGCCACACCCCATCAGCCAACAATAAATCCCCTCCCGACATAAAAGTCTCTCTCTCCTACTCACCCCAGAATAAATCCCCTCTTGGCAGGAAGCCAGGCTGAACAGATGTGTCTGCCACCACTTCCTGGGGTGGGGTCAGGCTGCATCAGCTTTGATCAACCAAAAGGAGGAATTTCCAGTGTCAAGAGCCCTCTGCACTGAATGCCCCAGGGCCTACTCCAAGAGGTAAAAGGACCAGGGATTTAAAAGCTACTAAGAGCATCCCAGTTGAGCAGAGCAGCACAAAAGACTCCTGAACCTAGAGGGGTAGCATCTTATTCATTCTCTTTCATTCTCTTCATTTCTTGGAAAGTTGTGTAAGTGCAGATAAACCCACCTTTTATACTAGAAGCTCAATATCACCTTAGTGATAGTGGGCTTATCATTCCCTTGTGGTCATTCTTATGAGTAAACAAGACCCACTTAAAGAATAGGAAACCCTTTGCAAGTCAAATGTAAGTACAGATTAATATGTTGATGTCTATCAGAATTATTTGACCAGATCTGAATCATGGGTACTCCACAAATTATTATGTTAGTGCACCTAAGGAATTGCCACATCCTAATTTCCATGAGGGCCACTAGAGTCAGGCATATCTGACTTTCTTGTTTGGACAGTGGTTGTGCCCATTGAGAACTTTAAGAAGTGACATCACCCACTGAAATTGAAGGGAACTTCCATGGTGAAGCAAAGTAAAACATGTTGCCTAGTCAGTTGAGTTTTGTTCTTCTCCAACTCAGAAAATCTATCCACTGAACTTTGCAATTTACTCCTAAGAGGAATTTTGTTTGGGAAATGTTGTTGAGCAGAATAGGCTGAATATTATAATAAGAAATAGCAAATTTCAGCGGTCAACACTCCTTGCTGTACATTTTACAAACCTGTTCAGGTTGGCAGGGATGGGGATAAAGAGAAAGGACTAACTCTACTCCAAGAATCTTGGTTCATTCCCTCTAGGGGTTGGTTCTTTCTGCTTTGGCTTTTGAATCCTCTATTGTATTTTTCTGCCCCTATTTAGCATATGAGAAGGAAGATTAGGAACTGGGAGCCTTGCCTGAGCACTGTAGGTGAGCATCATCTTCAGCCATATCTTTATGGCCTTAGGTTACTGCCAGGGAGGGTGAAAAATGTAGTAAACACAGTGCCCAGAATGGGAGGAGAAGAAAATAAAATGGGTGGCTTAGTAATTTCTGAAAAAAGTATGCTTGGTTCAAATTTTGGATATTGATTTATGAATGAAGGCCTTTTCACTCACAAGGAAAGGGTCTACTAATTCTAGATTAGAAAGCAAAATGGGCGGCCATTTTTAATTTGAACCACATGGTTTTCTCCATTGATATTTTCAAACTATCCAAAGAATGAAAGATCCCTTGCTACAGGTTGGTTGGTGAAAGGTTAGCTAGGGGCCATACATGAAAGTCTTGGTCCTCAGAGTTGTGTGGCATAGTGGGATAATTGGGAGATAAGTTGTTGTGGGAGGTCCTTAGGTCATTGGGTGTGTGCCTAGAAGGAACTGTGGGACCCCATTCTCTTTTACTTTATTTTCTTGCTCATAAAGTTTCAGGTTTTGCTCCTTTATGTTTTCCACCTTGATGTCCTGCTTCACTACTGGCCCAAGAAAGCACTGGAATTCCAAACCCATAAGCAAAATAAGCCTTCCACCATGTAAATTAATTATCTTAGGTATTTTATTATAGTAATGGGAAGCTAACTAAATAGAAGAAAACCTGACCTCAGCAGTCTCAACACACACACACACACACACACACACACACACACACAATCTTATGACTTTGCTGAAGTACCTATGATTAACTTCACACATTTAATTTTCACAAATGATTGAGGAGCTTGATGACCACTAGGGCTTTTTTAGCACCACCTTATATTTTATATATTTTTCTATAAAATCAAGTCTGATTCTGTTGTTTATAGATATTGTATTTGTTTTGAAACACAAAAGGTTCTAGTAATTATAGAATATGAGGATGGGGGCATATAGGAATTCATATTATGTTTTGAAAAGTACTATTATAATGAATGATCATAAGTTTATAGAATGTGTAAGGAAGTTCATACTAACAAATGTGCTCTCTGGATTATAATATTAATCCTTCAGGGCAGGCCCAAAAGCAAAGTATTATGAGCCCTTCTTTGCCATTTGTCCTGTACTGTCCTTTCCTTTTCTTCTTTAAAACTCAGGCTAACAAGTTAGTCAAAGATTCAGGCTGTGAGAAGCAAAGATTGTATGTTAAGAAATGGCCACCATAGTTGGGAATTGTGTACATGTGCAAATTTATTGAGTAGATATTATTACTTAAATAATATTAACAACATTGCTACATTTAAATATTTAAATAATAATATATTAAGGAGGCAAATTTTACATTGCTAGAGAAGATAATTATAAATGTAGAAAGGAAAAAGATAGAAAGAACCCTGACATATTGGGCTGGACTTGGAGGTAATAGCATGAACTCATGATTTATGTATAAAGATATGTATATTGATACATATATATCCATATATATCAGTTTGTGACAAATGTGTTCATAAAGAAATACAATATGAAGAAGTATGTTAATTAATGCCAATAAATAAATATGTGTATATGCATATATATGTTTATACTTACTTGCTCTGCATAATGGGAATGCCTAGAAATATGAAATCCTAGTTGCAAAAAAGACAGTTAACACCTAGACCTTAACTTCCAAATACTATCCTCTACCAAGTTGAGCCACAGACCCTTTAAGAATTTCTAGTGTTCAGAACTCAGACAGGATAAAAAAAATCCCAGACTAAATCTGGAAATGATTTGTGCTAAGATTCTGTAAATGGCCACATACTAAAAGGACATAGAAACAAAATTATGGACATGGAGTGAGCTAGAAGAGGTTTAAATACAGAATTGCTTTAGAATCTAAATACATATTAATATTAATGAATTCGTTTCCAGAAATCTAATAGGTGAGTAAATAAATCACTGGGGGAAGAAAAGAAGACTCTTCCTTAGAGGGGAATGACTATTTGCAGTGATAACAAAGAATCAGCACTTGGCAAACATCACAGTAGATGGTTCAGAGCTGAGCCTTTAGATTATCAAGGCCGGTGACAGGAGTTTTGGTGCAAAGCAGAACATTGGCATAATCCCACAAGACCATTTTTAGATTATACCAATAGATAATCACAAAGAGAAATAGTGAATATTTGAGCTGGAGAGACTTGCCATATGCCAATGTAACCAGGTGACTATACTTAACCTCCCTAGCAATGACATTGTTTGCTGTGGTATACCTCTTGTTTTGATGCACTGAGAACACAGCATCACTTGCAGAATTTCCTGTTCCCTCTCCCCAAACAAAACAAAACAAAACAAACAAACAAAAAAGACACATGATCTGGGTTTGATCATGAGTGAATAGAAAGTAGAGCCAGGTTTAGGGTCAAGCATATAAACAACCAGAAGAGCTTAAGGAACTGTTTCAAAGTGAAGGACTCTGAAGACTCATAAGCAAGTGTTCATGGGTTTCTAGATAGGAACTTGGATTAGCAAAGGAAATGGCTATCATTGAGTCATAGAAATCTGAATGAGCTCACAGGTAGATGATAGTACCATAAACAGTGTTGATTTCCTGATGTGGAATGTTGTGTCCTAGTTATTTTGAAAAATACCTCTTAGAATGCTTCAGCGTTAGAAGCATCATCTTATAGCTTACTCATGAAAGCTTCTATAAAAATGCTAATGTCAACGGATGTGTATGTGAGTGATGGTAAACAAAAAAGCAGGTTAACATGTGAGGAACCTTGGTGAGGGGACCACAGAACTTTTTTGTAGTATTATGGTAAATTTTTATAAGTCTGGGTTAATTTAGAAAGAAATAATTAACAAAAAGAGATGGTCTGGATTTCAGTTGGATTCCCGTATTTTACATTTTTAGTAAGTTTTTTTAATCTATTTTTAGTAGCTCCAATAAAAAATGTGAGTTATATTTAACTCTTTAGTAGCTGAACTAGTTTTTAAAGGCTACTCCATTTCAAGGCTGGAGTTGTGGAATCCAAGATTTCATTCGGTTATTGCACTTATCTTTTATTAAATACATAAGCTTTGGATACTGATAGTATCCAGCATTTATTGGACATGCTTTACCTGCATTATTTGGTTATAGCTTTATGATAGTCATTTAGTTTAAGCACCATCTTTATCTCCTTTGCTAATTGAAAAATTAGGATTGCTAGGGTCCAGTTTGGATGCATGTAACAGAAAAAAGAAAAATCATTGTAACCCACACAATTTAAAATGTTCTTTTCTAAAGAATACCTGAAGATACGCAGTTTAGGATACGTGATTGAGTGTATTCCATCCTGCTTTACAATCTTCTACGATGGCTACTGGAGTTCCAGCTTCTCATATGTACTCCCAGAAATCACTAAAGAAATAAAGTAGGAAGTGGGACATACTTCTCTTTTCTTGAGTTAGTCTACCCACAAAGTCTCAAACATCACAAAGCTCATTATGGCCAAAATTGTTGCATAGTCATACTTAGCTGCTAGAAGTTTGGGGAATGTCATAGTTGTCCTGGTAAAACTGCTCTGAATTCTGTTAGTAAAGAATTTCCCTTCATCTTGGAAGGCATCTAGTGCTTTTAAATAAGAGTACTTAAGGTAGGTCAGCCAGCTAACTAACTGAGAAGCTTTGGTTAAGCCTAGAGCTTAAGTGTTCAACACGATGATAAGCTGCTCTCACCTGCAGAAGTTTCCACTCATGGTGACATGCTTTCTATGTAGTAAACAGTTATCAGTCAGCTGGCATTGGTATTCACCTCCAGCTATGGCTTTAAGTCATCAAAGTCTTGATCAAAGTTCACAATACATAATTGGAAAGGAAAATATATATATACATATATATACACACAGTGTCTCATAACTGAGAGGATCATATACCTGAATGCACATACATGTTCTCAAGCAATCGCTAGTCGGGACATTCCATACTAACAAGCAGGTCATGCAGCTGCTATTATAACCCTGGTTATTCCTATATATCATGACATATATATCATGACATTCCTATATATCATGACATAGGTGCTTTTAGAGTAATTTTCCAGCGTCTGACAGCTGAACGGCAGCCTTAAAATAGGTGGAAATAGATTTTTCCTTCATCCGTTTTGTCCTGTGTGTATCTGAAATCTTCCCCTGAGTCACTTTCTGTAGACTTTTAAAGTTGGGGAAGTTAAGAAATTCTCAGGGCCTCTAGTAGAACCCAGATATCTTCATGGAGGCTGCAAGCTATTGGTTATTTAAAGCTAGCCATCAAGCTTTGCCCTATGGTATTGCCTGGAGCCTGAGTACCATGTCTGAAGCTGCACTCTGCCTGCCACATAGATTCAAGGAGACAGGCAAGAACTGAGAAGTTATAAACAATGACAAAGATCCTTTTTGCCACTCAAGCTGAGAAAAAATAATTAGCACAGTCTTTATTCACTCTGCCTAATTTCACTTTCATAATGAAATCTTTTTAAGCCAAAGGAAGGAAAAATTTATTCTTCACAAATAGTCCAAAGTGGAATTGCTTTTGGCTATTGTCAAAATCTAAAAGAATCAGCCAAAATAATTTTCAATTGAATCTTTTTCAAAAAAGAAGCAACAACAACAACAAATTTCCCCTGGGTGTGAGGTTGTGAAGGTCAAGGTCTAACCTGATAAAAAACAAAAATGTCTCAGGAGAGCAGAGTTCGAGGTTAAATAAATGTTTCTGACAACAGGGACTTAAACCTGAGGCATTAAAAATAGACTTTGCTGCCTGTGTGAAAAATTAAAGATAATGAGTGCCTTTAATCTTTTCTCTGAGTTCTGAGTGAGAAATACTGCTTGTTGAATACATTCTGGAAGCAGATAAAAACAGATTTATGGCTTAACACATGTATGAAACTATCTAAATAACAAGGAAAGAAAATGCTCCATGTGAAATAAATTATATCTTAGTTATTTTGGTAATATTAGGCTCTTTATATTTGTTGAATGTATTGATAATTTTATCCAATTGATGCATGGCTGTTGGCAAAACAATAATTTGTAATTCAACTAACCTCAAATAATGATTTTTATTAACAGACTATTTCTAGTTTTTTCTCTATATATAAACATATATATGTACATACAATATCTTCCAATTAGTATCATACTGTATATACTATTGTGTAATATTTTTACATACTTAGAAAGCCAAAGTAAGTATTCTTTCCTGGATCATTAAATACTGTTCTAAAGCAACATTTATAAATTGTAACAGAGGCATTTTTCACATATATTTATAATATATATTATATTATATATATATATATCTTCTTTCACATTTCTTTCATCTTCATTTGAACACATATTATTT